ACAACACAAAGTGACCGTTGTATGATAAAAATCTCTACACAGAAAAATTACGTTAAATGTATCACTTTCAGTTGCACACTTCAAAATATGAATTAATTAATATTACCGGCTTGAAAATGAAAAGCGCTGAAAAAAGTTGTATGATGTGACTCAGCTTTTCTCAACAATAAATAATACTTTCACGGGCAAATAAACTGACAAATATGTCATCTCGCATGAATATCTGTGTCCTCCCACAAGTAGTTTGAGAATGACCTTCCTCTGCCATTCTAGAACGACCTCCTATCGATTTTGGCTCCAATTGGAATGCGACTACCAAGGCGTTAGTCGAACAACATTTTGCATTGCCAAATTTTTCTCGCTTTTCTCTTTTATGTATTTTATGCAAAAAATTGTATTCATAAAATACTTTTACGGCTTTTATAAAAATACAATTCAATGTAGGAATATTTTTGAAAGCCCTATTTCGCGCTCTATAGTGTGCTCCAGTATAAATAGGTCGATCGATCTGTAATTAAATTAAAAAGTCCATTACATTCTTTCACTTTGCCTTTTGATATTCATCACACAGTAATATTCTGTAAAATTTCTATTTTCTGTCAAGAATGCAACTGTCTCTGGAAAGTTAGAAAGTAATTTAACTACTTATACGGGAGACATTAATTAAACTGCTTTTCTCATTTTCCTTCTTTTTGTATAAAATTATATTATAGCAGTTAGCCCCTGTATTATGATATCATTAGACGAATTAAAAATTAAGACAAACAATGAATTTAATACGGCTGAGAACACAATGCGCCTAGAATCGACATCACAATACCATGACCTACTATGTTACCGCCGCATCTAAAACACAATTATCTTAATTCACTGTGGAATTGTTCTTTGTAAGCCTGCACATTTAATTCGCATTAGTATGACTCTCATGACGCGTGCGACAAGGAATGGTAATACGCGAATGAGATTAACTTGTTCTCCTGATTTTCCGCAGATCATCCTTGATCTAATTCCCAACGTAGACAACAATCAATTATTAATAAATGCTGGTACATAATTCATATAATCCTGCTGAGTTAACTAACATTTAGTGCTTAACTAATCTCATCCTCTCGATAAATTATATTAAAACTTTGGATGTAATTATAATCTTGAGTTAAGTAATTTGCATCGACAATTTTGCTCTATGAATTTGAAATTTCTCTATCGCTATCTATCACGTATTACATTTGCTATATAAACTTTATTTGTAAATTATCAAAATATTGTAAAAAAATTGTCGAAACAAAAAGTAAATAATAAATAGATAAATTAAATTGATCATTTTTAAATATTTTTCTATATCAATTTTCCTCATAAAAATTATTGATTACTACGGTTGTTATCTCTCACGCGGTTTGTCGATACAAATGGATATCATCTGTCATTTTTAGTGGATAATGTCATTTGTCGGATAGCATTTTGACAAATTGTTATCTACCGAATGAATTTGCTGAAATCGTGTATCCGAATCAAAGTAATCTTTCATATCTAATAAAAATATCGAGTTTGATAAAATAAAAAACTATGTATCATTTACACATTCATATTTACTTAAACTTTTTCTGTTTTTTCTTAAACAAAAATTTTTCATTTTAACTTCTATTATTCGCTTTCTTTTGTAAGTATTGTGTAGTATAAAAACTTAAAGTATTTAATATTAATTATATCAATAAAAATATATCGAAGAATATATTTTATGCTAGCCATATTTCAGTTTTTGTGTTTTATTATATCCATTTTGCATAATAAAGCTTGCATCGTAGAATATTCTACAAATTATAAGTTTTTAATATTCAACGTAACTTTGTTGAATATTAAAAGAACCTTATTGAAGGCATAGCTTTATAATTTCCTTTTTAGGTACAGTTCTCAAACATAATACATATATACATAAGTCACGATATTAATAATGATTTAATGCGATATTAATCGTAATATGAAACAGCATCGTGCAAGAACTAAGCTAGAGAACAATTTTGCCTTCAACACCGTTAAGCAGGGGAGGTCATACGGCAAAAGTAATGTCTCATGTAAGTGCTTCAAGCGCTATTCTCTTGAGAAGAATTGCCCATACGAATGTACCAAATGGTGCCATAATTCTCGTTGTAAAACGCAGACATTGTAATTTATAGCAAAAATTTAGGCGCCGCATAATAATTATAGAATTATTGCTACCACAACGATTACCGAACTGTACGCAATTGTGCATGTCACTAAGCCGGGCGCCATGTAATTTATTTCCACCATGTTGATACACGACTTGTATGTGCGAGCACGTATCAATCTTTTAAATGCGTTTGAAAATTGCGTACATCCCCTCAACAAAGTTATTCGATAAAAGCTCGAAATCACAACAATGTGTAGGTAAAATATGTATACATGAGAGAACTTTCACAGCACGAACCCACGCATCAAACATTTTTAAATATAACCAGTTATATGTAGCTTTGATTAATTATATTTTATAAGCAATGAATGAGCTTAGTGTTATCTAATCTTCATTACATTTTGCATATTAATTTGCATAAAATTTTGGTATGTTCCCGCGTCTGTCTGCATTATAAATATGTCCATCATTTCAAATATTCTATTAATTTTCATTACAATTTATTATGCTGACGCGTAATCTATGTGTGTGTGTTAATAAACAATAAATAATTCGATAAATTTTGTTATTTAATAATGTTATTTCGTATTATAGAATTTTATATTGTTATTTTATAATCACTCCTTTAATTTCTTATTGTAGAACGAAGTGGTGGCTGTGGCGCTAGAAGCTTTATTAAATAAACGTGAAGTACCTCTTCCAACATCGACAACATCGTCTTTGTGAGTATATTTAACAAAAACATTTTCTCTATGAAAATATAAATTATGTGTACTGCTTTTAGTGAAAAAGTAAAATACTTTAAATATAATATATTGTCAAAATTGTGAATTAGCTTATTTTATGATTAAAAAATATTGCTAAAGCTGTTTAATTAATTAATTAAATTCACAGGCTTCTTGGATAAATTAATAAATATGTTGTTATCTAATCTTATAAAACAAATATTATGCAACATTTTTCATAAAGCGGTACATTCTCAAAAGTCCATTAAATAGATTAAATAAGAAAATCTAGCGCTGTAAAATAACGAAAGTAATTTAATTTTATACAGTAAAGTATAAAAGTAAAATAAAAAATGTATCAAGCTATACTGTAACAAAAGCTTAAAAGGAATGTAAATTGATCATTTGCAATTTACAAATCGATGTAAAGAAGGTTACATGGCGTATAACTTATTTAATTTGAGTTCAATTAAACGAGCGTGCTGATGTAACGAGCAAAAAATTCTTCTATATAACATCATTTCCATTACTCATAAAATGGAAATCAATATGAAAATTTTTACAGAACTTTTAAATTCGCAAAAAAAATTCAGATTTTAACTACCGACAAGTGCATAGCAACATTCCTGCAAGTTCTCACATTTAATTACGATAAAATATATATAATTTGGAATAGTAATGTTATATTTTGTATTTCAGAGAAAAACTTCTAACTAATATTGAAGAAGAGGAGAACTATAACTTATTGGAAGACATATACGAGACACTGAATTACGATTGTGGTAAGAGAATATATTTACAATTAAATAATAGTTAAAAATTAAATAAATATATAAACTTGCTAAAAAAGTTATTTGACTTTATATTATTGAAAAAATTTTTGAAGTTATATTTATTAAATTTATTCGCGTTTATACGATATAGTAAATCATGGTTTCTGTGTGACAAAATGTTTTTGTATCATAGAAAATTTCTATATTTTATTTTAATATATAGCACAAACTGCTGATTTTTGTAAATATGAATATAAATTCTCCTTCTTATTAAAAAGATAGCAACAAAAAATACGTTGTGGCACAAAAGAGCTTTAATTTATAGTCTCACTAAAACGGTTACTAAGAAGCTAAAGCATGCATGTTGCGGTAATTTTACTAGCGTATTGCAGCCGTTTATCACTGTCGCAAAGAAGATTGATGTATACATATATCGATTTCAAATAAGACCTCTGTGTCTAACATTTAACGTCGATCGTCTCAAACGTTGAGACGATTATCATAAATTGTCTTTAACAAGCAAATTACGCAGACTTACTGCATTGTCACATTGTTTGCTAGAGAAAAAGCTGAGAACAGTAATTTCAAGACTATAATAACACTTGTCACACACAGTGGTAAGAAATAGCACGCAACTCTTAAAACAATTAATAATTTGATAATTAAACATTCAATAGAAACAAGTAAAAATTATTATTTGTAATAATTATTTGTGTGATTTATATTAAATACATTAAAGAATCGATATTAAAGATTTTTAAAAACAAATTTTTAAAAAGTATATAAAATTTTGTAGCTTTTTTTAAAACTACAAGTTTAAAATATAAATCGGTTTTTTTTTATCGCGCTGTTTCAGGAAGAGAAAGCTAATTTAAAATCTGCCAGTGCCAAACGTCACTTTTATGCGACTTTTGTTTTTTTCACAATTATATCTTAAGCACCATTGTCTGGTTTAGTTTGGTCGCGCAGCTGATAACGCGAGAATCCGTTAATACAGGCTTGACCGAGTTTTTAATTGAATGAGTAAAAACCCGTGCAAAATTCAATCAATATTTAACACGTTTCAAATAGAAACATTCAATAACAAAGACAATAACAATATAATCCATTCATTAGACAATTGATAAAATATCTTTTGTTTTTGGCCCCTGCTTTTACTTCTGTCAAAAAAAAATTGATAGGTTTTCTTCGGGAATGGAAAACTTTTCTTCAAGAAACGAGAGAGAACAAAAACTCGACATTACGAGAATTCACAAAGTTACCCTTAGAAACGATCGATGTGAACATTTTAACGTCTGATGTAGTCATCTTGAATATATTTGCAAGGGTAGTTAAAACGTGAAAGCTGTGAACGTTGTTATCGTTACAAATAAAGCTCAGGGTGAGACGGTCGTCCTTCTTCCCATTCAAATTATTCCAGCTTTACTAAATATGTTCGTCCCGGATCCTTGGTTACGCGCTCTACTTTCCCTAGCAACTGCATAGCGACGCGCAATCTGGTGTTGTATGATAATGTTTTAATTTTGTCCTGTGTTTTAATTTAATTTATCCGCGTGCATTTTTGTCTCCAGTTAAAAATGCAGCAGCGAAGATAATTTCTATAAAGAAAAGTAACATTAATTTACAAATAATGCTAAAATACTAATTTCTTCAATATAGAGACATCACAACAAGAAATAAAAAACTATGGTGCAAATTATTGTTTTCTTTTGTACATTAAATACATGTACGTTAAATAAGAGCTTTGCTGTTTCGTAATAATTTGTTTAGATTTTAACGTATTAAAGTTAAATATTTGCTTTTAGAAATAGAAACTATTAAACGATGAAATACCTGTATCGATACTTCGATCATGCGATATGATATGATTTTAATGAGGATGCTGTTGCAAGCTAGATAGACTACACAAATAGGTGGCTATGTATGAAGGTTTCCTGGCGTTAATGAAGGAACCTCCGGATAGGTAATATGTACTCCGAAAGATTAATGAACTAGATGAGCTCCGGCTTGGAAAATCGTATTTGCGACGTTTCACCGCGTTACACGGCGGATCGTATCTTATGCACGCAAGCGGCGTCTTATTGATTCAACCTTACGCACAATGATAGAGCGAGACGCTCTTCCTTTTCCCGTCTAAATTCGAGAAATATGTCAGTTCTCGTCGTCATTTGTCATGCTTTTGTATGCGTCTTCATATTCCGGCAAGAATAATCTTGTATTATAAATGGGTATCCCATAGGCTGGTGAACTCGGTTGAGAGCCAAAGCCTTCGCACGAAAAGTGGAACGAAAGATGCGCGAGGCGCAACTGAATATTTCATCGGTAGTATACAGAAAAGCTACGGAAAGAGAAGAAACGAAAAATTATTCCACCCTATAACTTGTCCCTCAATTTTCACAGCGTAAAAGCCCCTTCTATGATGCTTAGTTCTGACTTGGAATAATAACAGAGTTACGCGCCACGATTATTGCATATTGTATTTCACAAGTTTTAAAACTCTCTCTATTTCTGAATCAAACTTGCTTTTACCGTTTTCCATCTTGCAAATTGCATTAACAATTTTAACGTGTTTCACATATTACGTCTTACGTTTTTGTACATTTACGTAATAACATTTTTGTTGATAACATAGCACATACGTATTTGCTACTCGGATACTGTTATTGCATTCGCAAAGCGCATCGTTGTTTTCTTTATCCAACTCCATGCATTACTAAATTAATTTCCAAGCCATTATATATTGCAATAACATATTCCTTTTGTTTGTATTGTAAAAGCATATGTTTCCTTTTAATTTTTTAGTATTGTTATTAGTTTCGATCTTTTTTTTGAAAAATAATGTAAAATTTGGGTCTAAAAGAATTGATATATTGCGATTTATATTCTATATCGTAAAACTGCCGACGGGCAATCGAATAGATCTCAATGATCGAGAAAGCCAAAGATAATCGGGACTGCTTGTTTGACAGCAATGTTGATCGTCAGATGGTTTTGCGCGATCCTTCATCTTCGAGCGCATGTTAACCCAATTTACGTTCGGCCGTCGAGTACTGTAGTTACAGTGGAGCAGGCTTCAGAAACGTCCCATTAATCACCACGGACAATCGATATGCGCATGCAATGTATTCGGATGACTTCCTCATCGGAACTTATGAATGGGGCCCGGTCGCGCCTAAGCGAACAAAGACAACAGCCGTCATTCGAATAATGCGCCCTTTGTGACTAATGGCCTGATGCGCGAAATACACCGCGGACAAAATTTAGCGCTCGTAACTCAGAAATACGGTGCCCTACTGTAATAAACCCGGGGACGCGGTATTATGTAATCACATTAGAGAACCCTGCACCACTCTGTGAACACCATGAGCGATTATGCGAACCGCCTGTTTACCCGCCATAAAACATGTAACGCACCATGGTTTCCTGTTAAATATATCGCCAACTTATCTCCTACGTCAAGACGCTCCTTTGACGACAGCAGCAGCGCCATATATATTCTCGGTCGAAGTGATCTTCGTATCCAAGCATGTAATGCTGGAAAAAAAGAACAAGGGTGGCATAGTGCGTACTTTCAAGTTCATACAAAATCATCCCGCGGTCTCTTTTTTTTTCTAGAACAGAGAGGCGTGTACCGTAAAGGAATTACCATCCTGGTGGAATCTCTTTCCCTCGCTTTAGCGGCCCTTGAATATCGAAGTTCACTGATAAAAGCGCAATTAATGCGATTCACTACATTGCGTATAAACGGGAATAACTTTGGAGAGATATTTAATTATATATAACATATAATTAATAAACGAGATTGCAATAATAAATTAATAATCTCCATTTACTTGGTAATGTTTGCGTCACTTGAAAATCACTAGACCATTAAATTCTCGTGTGCTCGCAGTTTATTAACGATGATAATATGCGCGCATAAACCGCGCTCGCTTGACAAATACGTACCGTCGTTTATCAAGTGAGCGGAAAACACGTATTTTTGCTCATAAGGGTTCGTAGCAAGACAAATCGTAAGCATAAGCCGCACATTACTGCCTTCCTCGTGACACGCAAACCCTTTTCACCCTTCCGCTTGCAGCGCAATCACTTCGCATTTCGTATACGCGACAGCAAGTGGTTGTTGCTGTGGTTACCGGAACATAGAAGAGCCTTCTCGTACCAACGTAATGCAATCTCGTATGAAACCCTAAGACCGTACTGTCACCGACGGATATACAGGACACTAGGCCATTTGCAAGATTGACTTACGAAAAGTCTACACGGCATCGTGAGCATTTCGTACGCACGAAATCTTACAACATGGAACAAATATTGAAATTGTTTGTCGTCAGAATTTATCGTCGTCGCGAAAATATAAAAAGAAGCACTCAACGTATTCACGGTGGTTGATAAAGCAGATGAATCGTCGTTTATTTCGCCCGCGTATCGCCGTGACCTAGAAAATTTCAACCGAAAATTTCTTTGTCCGCATTTCCTGGATAATCACAGCGTAAACATCGAGCACATAAATCACAGATAACATTTTCATTTCCGGACGTATTATCCTGTATTGTTGATCGCCAGCAAACATTTACAGCATTTCACCGCATGATCTGACATATTTATCGTATATATATAATGATATACGTAATGTTTGATAAGTCTGACAGAATGACATAACTGATCAGACTTTCGTGCGCGTTAGTCGTAAAGCTTTGAGAATATCGTTCAGAGCTTTGTCTTTGTCCGTCGAAAAATCGTCGATTAAAGAGCATCATGCAAAAATTCGTCAATTTATCAGGTTTCGTCGCATGACATGGTTCCGCCACTTTCGATCCGGAATGTTATGGAAGCGTCACGCGATATCGCGAATGATTGGCCGGGCGTATCGCGTCGCACAACCGCGCAACCGCTATTATAATTATCGCATTTTCATTGTGACATTCCACGTGAAATAATACGGAAACGCTAGAGTAGCTCTTGCTTGCCGCGTCTATTTCCGGATTTGCAAGAGAGCCAGCCACATCGGGTTTAACAGAGCTGAAACCCGACATGTATTATCGATCTCGCGAGAGATTCGCTTGCAATTCTCCAACACGCCGATTTGATAATATCACGTTAAGCATTCATAGATGTTTTCAATAAAAGTTGCGAGAAAAATAAACTCTTTTTAACCGCGAGAAGCTGAAGAGAAAAGAATTTAAGAAGATACTTGTTACTACTGCTGGCAGCTCAATGTGAACACAAAGTATCCTTTAGTGTGAAAAGATTATTTGCAGTAAATCTTCTTTTCCTTGAAAAAAAAAAAACGTCGTGTATTGTACACTCTTTGCTTGTTGTTTACGCTTAGCTCTCTGAATATTGAAAGAGAGAAGAAATAAACGGTTTCTGAGTGACTCGAGGAAATTCCCTCAAGGCGAATTAATGTTTGCGGAACTTTTGCAGACATCGACGTCAACGCGTTTTTCGATCATCTCGGACAAGAGCTGATCATGTGGGCTTGCGTGGGTCTCTTAGAGAGGGCTTTTCGTTGCCTTGGGAACGATCTGACCGCCTTCCTGACCACACTTGACGGCGTAAACGACGTTGTCCAGCATCAGTCGGGAACGGATACCGAGGCGGAGTTCGTGTGTATCGCTACACCGGAAGCGCTGGAGCTACACTTCACCACCGACCATCCCTCTATAGCCTACCTTTTGGTCGGCAGTCTAAAGGGCATCGCCAGGCAGTTCTATAATGACAAAGCCGATGTGTATATACTGCCGGATCCCTACAATACAAAATTTTTTAGGTAAACCTTTATGAACCCTTTTGCTCCGCTTTATCTAGCAAGCTCTGCCTTTTTGTTACGCGCGCTTTTATTTTTTATCGACAGCACTGATCTCCAATCGTCCGCAAGTTTTAATTTCCGTCTCTTTTAAGTCCGATTTTAGAAATGCTAGATAGAAAGAACGTTATCGAAGCGTAAAAGCGGAGGGATGAGGAAATTTTCTAGGCCAACTATCTCTGCGTTTAGTGAAGAATAACAAAAATTATCGAACGTCACGCTCGAACGAGTTTTTCGTGGGAACGGTTTGTGTCACCTCACTTTAAAGCGACACAATTTTGATTTACCGATTGCTTATAAATTGGTAAAACAAAAGTGAGAAAGAGGAAAAAAAGAGAGAAAAAGAGAAAGAGAGACGGAGAATATGAGATCAAAACAGTACGAACGCGCGAAATGAAATTTGTAGAAATACGGAGAAAATTGGTGACACATAACATGTCAATTATGCAACATAATTATGGCCTTTTCAATATTCACCGAAATTTTTCAATTTAATTGCGACTACATTTCTGTATCAACAAATCCTGTATAAACGATGCATAACGAATGCAAAAGTAGATATATGATATTTCAACGATGTTGTTGACCAGCATGAATACGTTGTGATAAACTCTAATGAGCACTATATACGAAAAACCCTCGCAGCGTCATAAATATCATTCCTTATGCAAATAATTTGTATGCATTTATTCGTGCATCATTCGTTATTTAAACAATTCATATTTACGTAACATTTTCGCTATGTTTTAATTACCCGATATATTTACTTGTACCATTTACATATTAAACATGATAAAAAAAAAATTCCGAATTATCATACCGTTCAAATACGTTACATGTTTGTACGCTATTGCACGGTGCACTTTCAATGTTTGCACTGAATCGCGTGCAGCAAAATAATATCACGTGAGTAGAATATAATTCATGTGGATAGGTAAAGACAGCACGTGAGAGTATAAACCTTTCGTTTAAACAAACATTGATTCTCGGTAGTGGCAAATATTTGATGATAGGTGCGGCACTACTGAGTCACGTTAATTCTGAAAGGATGAGACTGACGAGCGCGCGAACATGTAAATGACGTGCAAAACGTTGTCACCACACATCGCTTACGTTTCCGAGTTTAATTAAACGTTTCGCGGGATGACCGATTATACGTACACCTGCGCGATATGAAATTGTACACAGACCGATAGTAATTGTCTCTGGTCGTTATATGTCAACAAAAAGTGTTGATCGTTCTGTCTCGTATATATCAAAGGACATAAAATATGTTTCACATATATTTATACGAGTGATGTCTGCGATATAACCGGTACATTTTCAACATAAATATTATTTCTTAATGTCTACGGAAGAACTACGATCGATGTTTCTTCATGAAATATTTTTCCTACGCGCAAAAAAGTACGACATCTGCAAGCGTTTCTTTAAATTTTGTAGATACCGCATCACTCCGGAGCGTTACAGCGAGCAGCTAGACGCCGACATAGACGACTACAATGTGCCGCCGTCGCCCGCTTTCCGTCCACTCTCCACCGAAGCAACGGACCTTCGTATGGGGGTAGCGAGCTTCTGCAAGGCGTTTCCGTGGCACTTTGTCGTTGATCGCCAGCTGGAACTCGTGCAGCTCGGTGTCGGTTTCATGAAGATTTTCGGACATTATCTGAACCGACTCGGCAGAGAGATATCGACATATTTCGCCTTCACACGGCCCCACGGCGTCACTCTGACCTTTCACGAGATCCTAAAACGCGCGAATACACCGTTTATCCTGACCCTTCAGAGGCCGCACGATGTGGATAAATACCCCGCGGAGGTATGCCAGTAATACGATTGCTGAAGATCAACTTACTTGCAAACTCGGAGTAAAACACAAATACGTAAATAAAAGCAAATTAGGCGACTAATGTAGGTTATTTGAGTTAACAACTTTTGCTGTGACAGTACAGTCGCGCTAATGACGTTCTAAATTGCTAATAACGTTGAAACACGATGAAGTAAGTAATAAAAACATTTTGCTTAATTTAGGGTTTGGAAATGAAGGGCCAGATGGTGCACTGTTCAGAATCAGATTCAATTTTGTTCGTGAGCTCACCATTCTTGAACGGGTTGGAAGGTTTAACGGGTCGAGGACTCTACATTTCTGATATTCCTCTTCACGATGCTACGAGAGATGTTATACTTGTTGGCGAGCAAGCTAGAGCACAGGTGACTAAATTAAAATTTATATACCGATCGTAAGTAATTGAATATTTATATGATTATAAAAACTTGGCATCTTGTGCCATTATTATTATTTCATTATGATAGAATGATGTACAGTAATTCATTATTAATAGCGTAATTAAAATAACATTAGCAACGTGGTATTATATATCATTTTTCCATACTGCCTAGATAGAATACAATAGGAAGTAATCTTCTTTCAGGACGGCTTAAGGAGACGTATGGATAAATTGAAGAGCTCTATAGAAGAAGCCAACTTGGCAGTCGATGCGGAAAGAGAAAAGAATGTCAGCCTTTTACATCTTATATTTCCACCGGATATTGCGAAGCGTCTATGGCTGGGTAAATTACTACAATCTATATCCGATCATAATATGTAGCAATCTTGGTGACTCTTTCTTAGATTTCTCTTTTTGCTTTCGAAATTAAACGTAATGCAATAATATATGAAAATAAAACAATTAAGAAGAAAAGAATATTTTTGGAAACTAATTTTAAAATATGCAGTCGCGTAAATAAATGAGGTTTTTTCGCCAACTTAATTTAAATCTATTTTATAAAAGAGATATCGCACGATCGTTTAAATATTAGTATTTCAATTATCTAGGAGAAACAATTGAGGCGAAGACATATCCGGACGTCACGATGCTTTTTAGCGATATAGTCGGATTTACGGCTATCTGCGCTACAGCCACACCGATGATGGTTATCAATATGCTTCAAAATCTCTATGAACAATTTGATCTTTATTGCGGTCAGTTGGATGTGTACAAGGTACGTTAGTTAAAAATATTTTCCAAGTACTTTCATAAAATCAACTAAAATAATAATTTATTTTTTAATAAATAAAAATTCTATTGATAAAATATCGAGACAATATCAAAATGTTTCTCCATTCAAAAAATATGATTTTAAATTATAAATTACTTTTAATAATTGCGAATTAAGTAGGACGCAAATATTTTTATCAATCAATATCTCAATCAGTATCAGCAAATATCTCGTATGTCGCTGTAAACCAAGGTTTATATTGTTTGTACGAATGAATTGCATTTTCCTGCCATCTGTGAGACATCGAAACAACTTGATACGATGCACGGATAATTTCTTATCTTTTATCATTACCTGTTTTTTGTTACTCAACAATAACAGATAATACATGTCAATAAGAATAAAATGGAGTGCTATTTTTCGAACATCAACTTTTTTAATTTATCGAGAAATATTAATAATGTCACACATAGTCTGTAACAGCTATTATATGTACGTATGAATAGAAGCTCGATCGATTTTACCTTATTCTTGTATAAATAGGTAGAAACAATCGGCGATGCCTATTGCGTTGCATGCGGCCTTCATCGAAATACCAATGCACATGCACAACAAATTGCTTGGATGGGCCTAAAGATGATACAAACGTGCTCTCACCACTTGACTCACGAAGGCAAGCCAATAAAGGTATTACATGATGATTATATGATTACAGATAAAATCTGATTATTTGCAACGGTGATGCAATTTTGTTTATGCACGATAGCGATAATAATAGCATAATAAATACTATACCTATATAGTTTTATTGCAATTTTATATAATTTAGTGTATTATAATATCAATCCTAATTCATCATAATTTGACTGAATAAAACAAAACATTCTCTATTATAATGAATATTAATATTAAAATAATATATAATATTGTGCATCAAATTTTGACATAAAATATCCAAAAATTTTGTAACGTAGATATTATTTTTTTAAATATTAGAAATATGATTAAATGATTTCATTATTAAATTTTTTTCTTCTACAAGACGTATCTATAGACATCTCATTCGTAAGAAAAAGATTGAAAAATAGATAATTATAATATGTAATATATAAGTTATGACTTTCAATATCATAAATATATTTTGCGATACTCCAATCCATTCTAAATATAATTTTTAATTATATAGAAATCTTCTTTTTATATATTTCACATTTAAGAACAACAATCGGTACAGCAGTGATTTTCTCTCTCGCGACGTACCATTATTCCAAGTTTTTCAATTGAAAGATATTTCTGATTATTACATATTCACTCTAGCAAAAATTTCGTTGTTTATTATTCCCACCTTGAATGCTATTAAAACTTTTCCCATTTAAAGTATTTCTTAACTGTGATAACAAGCGGTCGGTGAAAATGCGACAGTACAACGAGGACGCAAGCTATCCACAGTTGAATTTAAACCAAGTTATATAATTTTTTTTTTCTCATTGACACTCTTTTGCGACTGTCATCTAACTTTTCTTATATTTGTTAATGTTAGATAGAGCTCTTATCGACTCACTGAATTGTTCTCTTTACTGTTTCATCAGATGCGGATTGGCATTCATACCGGGATGGTGTTGGCGGGCGTGGTGGGCAAGAAAATGCCAAGATACTGTCTCTTTGGACACAATGTCACGTTGGCGAACAAATTTGAATCTACAAGCGAGCCACTTCGTGTCAACATCAGTCCAACTACGTACCTGTACGCAATCATGTTTATTCACCCAATTGTTATTCAACCAGATATTTGTCGCAATGCATATGCATTGTTAACAATGCAAATGTTTGCAGGTGCTTAATAGAAAAATCGGGATTCATATTGGAACCGCGGACCAAGGACAATCTACCCAAGCAAATGTCAGCCAGTATATCGGGCACGTGTTACTTTCTGAACGGGTATCAGCATAGCGACGTCAGCGCGAGCGAACCTCTCGATGTGCATATTCAAGCTGCAATTACGGAACTCGGAATCAGTAGCAATATGTAGATACCTTTCAATACGGGGCCGCGCGTACCGACGATGCCGTACCGCTGATCAGTGTGTTACTTTAACGATATTACCATCGATAATAGCAATGACACGCCCGGCATTATCAGATCGATCGATGTACACGCATATGAGCTCTCAAGCTGGCACTAAAGGTACATTAAAAGCATGGCGCTAATTGTACGATCACATTGAAAGAGATCCTGTGTGGATACTATTTATACGCAGAGTCATAGATTATAATCATTATATACTTATTAAATATATAAGAAGCAAGTAAAACTCTCTACCATGGACTCTACGCTTGTGTATTATTTAAAAAACCCTCTCTGTCCCAGATTTATACAGAAATCAAATCTATTATTACAGAATCTGGTTAATGTTATAAGTTTTTAATATTTTTAGCGCGATTGTTACGAGAAATGCAAATATATTTCTTGAAATATTTCACAAGATAATATTATTATTCTCATCTGACCTAGATCAATTACAAAACGCTGTTCGTATTGTAAGCTGTTTTCACAACTTCTTTTAAAAAGCAATATAAAAGAAATATAAAGACTTCATATTGCTTTTCCTTCCCTTTTTCTCTTTTTTAAATAAATACTTTCATTCTGATAAAACTCGAATCATATTGGAATCTTATAACGCGGATTATCTTTGTACATAAAGACATTTACTTCGAGATATCAGATTAGACAAATCGAATATTGCCCGATATGTTTTTTTTCAGATCAGTAAATGAAATTGATACCGTTCATCGCTATCATCCTGAGCATTTTTAATAAAAAATAATGTAAAATTTTCCGTATTACATTGCATACTTTATTGCTTTATTAATAACAGATGCCATTTTTCGTATAAGAAAGCAGCAAAATTTACGAGACGTGATTTACGAAACCACTAATATTTTAACTTCCGCGGAAGCGTTTTTCCTCGAGGAAACTTCCGGCCGTTATACAAAGTAGCAGCTTTTAAGATAATAACGCCGGTTTGTGGTTCACGGTAATAACTAATTGTGCCGTTCTCGCCGCGCGGGACGCAGCAGCAGTACGCTTATTGAAAAGCGCGACCTCTTTTCGCTTTAACGTAACCGTGCGCGCATCGTTTTACCGAGGGCACAAAAGGAAGATGCCGGGTATTATAAAACTGAAGACTAGGAAGCGGTTTTACAAAGCCACTGTCACTAACGACCCGCTGTTCGCTCACGCACACGCATTTATACGTGTATGTGTACATGAGCGCGCGCGCGCTCACTGACAGTTGCTTGTGTAGATGTGTCCTTAATGTTTCTTAGTAGCATTTATGCAAGGAACGAAGAAATTAAACATCATCCCTTCCGGCTACGCCGTGTAATCAAACGCTCAGGACAGAGCAAAACATTCACTAAAAGATCGTGGAAACAGACTATGACGGTGTGGATATTAAAATATGCGAAAAAATAAGAAGGAAAAATCAAAACAGGCAGCCGGAATAATGACATAGACAACACTAAAGGGAATTTCAGTTATATTCTTCAATAAGTATCACTGCATGCGAAACAACACTTCAAGAATCACTTATTATATCGCTTATTATATACCATTACAATATAATAGACATAAATAAAAGTAAAAATTAAAAAGTTGGAAGATTAAAGAACATTTATCAGAACGAAATAAATGGACTAAATAGAGAAATCATCAGGCGCAAATGTAAAAAAAATCTATTTGGATTATATTGAGAGGAAATAACATCATTAAAATTTAATAAAGCTTCTATCTTTTTCATCGCGAGTAACTCCCTAAAGTGCTTAATACTGCAATACGATAAATTTATTTTCGCAATTCTACAAAATAGAAGCAGAATATAGAAAACCCGTGCTTCATCGTTTAACATCTAAATCATTCAATAACGTTTTTAATTCGTAATTTTTTAAAATATACAAATAACAATTTTTAATAAACAATTTAAAAAATTACTATTTTTTTCCTCTTATTTACATTAGTTATATTATCAAAATTTCAGCTTTTCTAATAACTCCGTAATAAAAAGAATTTCCAATATCCAACACTAATTTGAAATAAACCCCTAGAAGCATGCTGTCTGTCGTACTATAATGCACTGAAGAAACTAAGTCAAAGGCTCATGCAAGTTTCAAGAACAGTCAAATTGGTTTGACAAATATTTCTTTGTTAAAAGGATATCCAATGTTTAGTAAAGTAACTTAATTAAACTCTAAAATTTCATCAAATAGTGACGTTTATCTTTACATTTAGAGCGAGTAACATTGCTCTAAATTTGTTCGTTTGTAAGAAAATGCTAAGTAAATGAACAGAATTAAAGCATTAATCAAGTTAAATTAATATTTGAAAATGTTTTATATACACTGCGCTATTTTTCAAATAATTTTATTTCTTTGATAAAATATTTGATACACTCAAAAAAATAATCTTGCAATAATAGCTAAAATTTTCTAGGTGTAAAAAATTAATTAAAACAGATAAATGATTAGCAACTGTTGTGATATTGCATATGTAATTACTTAATCAGTTTAGATGACAGAAACAGAATATATATCTGTATTGTTTGTGAACTTTAAAAGAAAGTTTCTCTAAAGCGCCTATCTATATAAAATCAATCACGTGTTCGATTATGCAATGAATAACATTTAGCAATGGTACCTAAATTTTTCAGATGCTATTGCTAGAACATTACTGCTATAAATTCTATATGTGACAAACAATGTTTTCACAGATACGAAAAATAGCGATACATTCTTGTTGTGATATCTAGAAATCTAACTACATCAGCGAAATATTTTTTTGAGTGATACTTTACGTCAAGCAACTGAATACTCTTAGCAAATTTAAATTAATTTATTTAAGCTTATAGAATCAAATTGTAGATACTTGTAAATCAAAATATAATTTTCACACTCATGTATTATTTTATAAAACATATTAAGAGCCATTAAAATATTATAATCAGATAAAACATAATTGCGTTTAATCGAGTAAATATTTTAATAAGATATGCGCGTCGTTAAGCATCCTCGCGGCAGGTATTTCGAGTACCTAGAGTTTAATACGCGTGACATAACCCACATTCTCCGCTTAATTACATTCTCTTGATAGTTCCGAACAGTGTGAAGTAACTGGAACATTGGCTTAATAAGTTTAAAAAAGTGCTACTTCGAGATTCATATTATTTCAAATAGCAAAGTCTGCAGAATGCATAAAAGCGTTATTCTGAATTACATAAAAATTGTTGACGTTTATCAATAAATATTGATAAAAACGATAAAAACATATTTTCTCGATTCTATTGTTGTATTCATATTTTAGTAACATTGCATATTGCATATTTTATCGGTTTATGTCGCTATTATTATTGGATTTGTCTCTGACAATGCAGCACAATTTTCTCTAATCATAAAAATGCCTCCAACTTTGCACGCCTTCATCTTGAGTGTTGTCACCACTTTTCACGCAGGAGGACAACTATGAGACAAGTCTGAAAAATTACCGTAGCTCCTTCTGCTACAAAGGTTTCATTACAGAACACCTCATTATTTACTTTCTCGTCTGTTTCACGTCTCCACTGCACTATGTCAAATCATTCTTAGCGAAAACTGTGTAATTAATATTAATTGATGTGAAACATCAATCATACAGTTTCAAATCAATTGTATCTACCAGTTGTATAAATCAGAGAATTTTAGTTATATATATTTCAAAATTTAATAATTTTAAAATTATTAAAATATATTTTAATGATAATTGGGAGAGACAATGCTTACTAAATATCTTGCTTTCCAACCAATATCTAATTTTTATGGATATACATTTATATATATATATATAAGTACTTTTCTCGAGAATAATTAAATTTTTACTTCCCACTTTAACAAAACTAGATTTTCTATGCGCTTACTGCATATTCTGGATGACGCGACACGTTCAATGAAAGCTATTCTGAATTGCACGACGTGCCTTCCCGCTTACAACTTCCTTCTGTCGTATTTCTGCTATCGATACAAATTTATTATTAACTCACTCGCGTGTGGAATACGAATATGTGCATATTCTTTGTGCTACAGCGCCCAGCCGTCTCGCTGGTTCGATTAAACTGCAATGACGCGTATCGGTTTACCTGACTACGAAATAGATCGAAAATATATTAAATACTTAGTGCGCGCTGTCATGTAACTGCGAGCATATTGACTACTTTGCGGATATATTTTGTTTAAAAAATTGACAAAAAGAACAATCACAGTTCTATTGTATGACATTCGTTCACTACGGAACAAATGTTCGCAATATAGACTGCGATACAGCAATATACATACAGAAAACATTAGAGTTGTATAAACCATTGTATCTGAGTATTGACAGTTGACAGTATCTTTAATTCAGAAACTTGATTTTTGGCAGAAAAATCTCAATAAAATTATAAAAAATTATCTTTTCACAAAAGAGATAAATGTGAATATTCACAAAAGGGACTTATTAACATGCATTTGTTTTTCATTCTAGTCGTTCAAAAATCGTATCAATATTAAAAAGAACACTTTTTCTGAGATTTTTTAAACTTGAATGAATTTAAGAATAAACACTTTAAAACATTTTATGACCCAAAATATGATAAATTCTGGAAATTTCATATTTAGTTCAAAATTTATTGATTATATGACATTACTAAATATAATATCATCTAATCTGCAATGTTTAAAATAATGCGATTTATGTTAATTAAACTAAATCTTGTAGCGCAAATTTAATGCGCTTAATGATGTCTCGTATTTCGTTTTGATATTATCCCATTTAGGATATATGTTTAAATATTTTTAGATATTAATTACGATAATTAATTTAGATTATAAATTTTTTTATAATATTGGCCACATGTATATAGAGAAATATATGTACATATATAAAAATATGTGTATGATATATGTGTGTTATCATAAACTTATGTATATATTTATATAATGCATAAATAATTGTACTCACCAAATAGGATGTTGCAGCATTCAATCTATAGCAAGTTTCACTTTTAAACTGCTCCACATCAATACCGGAAATTCGCATTTAATTACATACACTATCAAATGAAAGTCGTTGATTTACGTCGCGAATTTATTAGGCTGCATTACACGAAACGCAAACGCGAGATAAAATGTATTCTATGTCGCAGTTATATAAGTTATAAATTGAGCAATAAAAAATTGTACGAATAATTATAATGCAGCATCGCAGTAAAAAATATAGTATAAGAATACTTTCATAGCCATCGTGCAAAAAGAACTTTCGCAAACTGTGTCGTTTTTAAAAAAACCTTCCGAGTTACAATATCCAGAAAAAGAAGAGAACTGTTTCGCGAAATATACGTTATAAAACGTCAGTTGTCAATTGTTGTATAAGCAGTTCTATCACTAACTTTTCTATCAACAACTTTTTCATTACATCAATAAACTGCGTATTCAAAAAACCATACTTTCATAATACATTTTTTACAGAAACATTAAACAATTATTTGTTAATAAAATTAATAAAAAAATAAATTTACATACATGAATATTATTATATTAAACATAATATTCTCAAAATTTATATCTTTAGAATTTTAATTTCCAAATTAAACTTTGTAATTTATATCTCTACAAAAATGTTTTGCTTACATATATGTGTATATAATTTATATTTCCACAATTTTGTAATTTTATAATTTAATAATAAATTACGTGCATGACTTGGGCACAATATAATATATTTTACTATTAAGATAAAAGGAAGTAATTACATATTTTATTATTTATTTTTAAAAGTGCAAATTTCAGACAAGGATGTAATTATCAAAGTACGGTTTTTAGCAATTATAATGACGCATGAAACGACAACACACGATATCAGTGTTGTGTAATTACGCAAGTATAATAAATAAATTCACTCACCGGTCGTTGTACCCTAGCTAAGTACGCTCTCTCAGCTATACCTAGGAAATATAATACATATATTAGTTAGTAAATTGTCATACAATTTATGTATGGTGATTATTACGTATTATTTAATTATTTCTATTTTGAATAAAACTAATGTGCAAAAAATGGCGTAAACAATTATTGTAATATTTTAATTTTATTTACCAGCTAGGATATTGTAGTTTGCTTCATCCGTTCCAGATTCCCATTTAAACTGCTCCGATCAGTTCCATCGACGAATTGATGAACTTTGCAGTTGTTAATCACTACCACTATCGAATAAACTCACTATCACACCACTACCGAATATAATTCACCTTATCACACTCACTACCGAATAAAAATTAATCCGCACACTTACGCGAAAGTCACGGATTCATGTTGCGAATTTGCTGCGATACACAAAACACAAACGCGAGATTATTAAAACACACTTTGAGCAGCAACATTTTCACGCACATAATTCTTTCAGTTATTATTATAAACGTAAACATTTCGCGGAAAGCGTACAGACGGTTAGAGCAACCGAGATGAACGACCGCCTCGGCGATCACTTGAAGGACATCAGATACACGCACACGTTGAATGCTACATGCTATATATAATGAAAATCGGTTTTAATTCTGTTCAAGAAATGTATTCTTCCATTCACACGTCCATGATATCAAAATCAGTGTACTCACTTGGATTCTCACAACCTGTTCTAACCTATAATTAGACTCTGATTGATAGACATTCGATAAAAGATTGTTGATCATAAACAGCCGCGGTAAATAATACGTTCGGCTATCGCTCGTTACTTTAATCGATTACTCTCAACAAAAATTCGCACTCGATATACGTTTTTAACGATCAAAATACTTGATAATGACTAAGCAATTGCGCTCTACTTTTCGAACCAAAACGACCGACGTGAAAACATTATGGCTGAAGAGTGGCGCATATATGACGTCAGATACATCGATATCGATGTACGCGATACGTGTCGCCCTCAGTCACCCTTTAGCCGCAATGTTTTTATGTTAAGTCGACGCTTTAAATTGGAAAGCTAATATTTTATTCATTTTGCTCAGAGATTTCCACGAAGTGTTGCATGTAGCATATTTAAGGATTTTTCGCAGAATTAAATCGGTCAAAAGGTGTTTCTTATTGTGTCCATACCTGATGACTTCTGCATATTTAAAGCAATCTTCGTCTAGTTTTTTATGAAAACGTTTCAGTTTCGAGTTGATGTGTCGTTTTAGCACTCAATATATGCTTTCAACGATCACAATACACGATAATCACTAAGTAATTATGCTCCACTTTTCGAATCGAAGCGACCGACGTGAAAACATCATGGCTAAAAAGTGACGCATATTGTCAAATACATCGATAATTTTTATTTCAAGAAACATAATATAGGTGGCTAACAACCATATTGTCGGAAATACATCGATATCGATGTACGCGATATGTGTCGCCCTCAGTCGCCTTTCACCCGCAATATTTTTATAAGTTTATGCTTTGAATCGAAGAGGTAAGCATTATTGCTCAGCGATTAATTGTGTATTTTACTCATTAAAAGTACATAATGAGTGCAAATTGTTTTTGAAGGTGCTGATTAAAGTGATAGGCGATTGCCGGAACGTACTGTTTACCGCAAACATTTATAATTAACGGCGTTTCATCAATTGGCTGTACCGTGTTGAAATAGGTTATGTTATTTCAGTGAGTACAGATTTTAATCTCATAAATGTTGAGAAAATACATTGGTATCAAGAGAATCGAAGTACGATGTACTTTTCATTAAATGTAGCATGTAGCATGTAGCATATTTCAAGATTTAACTTGTCGGATTTAAATTGGCCAAAATGTATTTCTTGTGTACTATGTGTCCGTATCTGATGACTTCCGCATATTCAAGGCAGTCTTTATTTCGTTTTTTTTGTGAATACGTGGACAGTGGTTTTAAGTTGATAAGTCGTAGTAAAGTGCGTTTTATTCGCGATTGCATTTCATATATTTGCAATGTGGCAAATTCGCGATGTAAATTCGTAATTTTGCATAAGTAAAGTGTCGAATATCTTTCATTCGGTAGTGCGTTTAATAAGTGTAGGTTTCCAGTATTTATTGATTTGTCGAGCTGATGGAGCAGTTTATGGCGGAATCTGCAATGGATGAAACAAATTTAAAAAATATTTTAGCTGATGAATAAAATTATTTGGTCATTATTTGAATATATATACAATTGTGATAATACACACATACCCACACAGCACGCATATCCAAAAGACGTCCAGAAGACATCTCGAAGATATCTTTGAGAGATACAATATCTTTGGGATGTCTTCTGAACATCCTCCGGATATGCATGCTGTGGGTATACATAAAAAAATATAATTATGTATTTATTATAAGATGTTTGAAACTATTTATTAAAACATTAAATATTCATTAAAATGTTGAAACAATTATCACGCAATTTATTGCATATATGTAGTTATGTTTTATTCAAAATATAAATAATTAAATAATTACACAATAATTAACATAGACAAAATATATGATAATTTATGATAACTAATGTATATATTGTTATAGGTACAGTTTGGGTAGCACATCCTAGTTAGGATATAATTGGTGAGTAAATTTTTTTTGGTCTAATATATCAAATTGATTATATAATTATAAATGTAGGATAAATAATTTTGATCAGAAGTAATGGGAATAACAATTTATTAACAATATATAGAAAAATTTATAAAGACTTTCGAAATACACTAAAGGTTTACACTCTCGATGCAAACGTTCTTACAACCCTCTTGTAGAATTCTGTCTTCCGCAATGCTCAAAAAGATTGACTTTAATGCTTGAAACATTGTGCTCTCTTGAAATACTCTAGACACACAGTGCATTCGCTCTCAGTTCGCTTGTTTTATATTCTCTATCATACATTCTCTATTTCCAATCACGCATGCACACACTCTCGTTGTTTTTCTCAAATCTTCAATCACACGTTCTACTCACTTTCATTATATGCCGCACTCGCTTTCATATGCCACATTCGCTCAAAACAATTGTACTTTCGTACAAAACAATCATACGTTAAACGTTTTAACATTCTCTCTCACTCTCTCGCTCATTCTCGTACTCTTTCGTTTTATTTCTCGTTTTCTGGTTCATTCTCTCATTTGTTCATACTTTACAATCCCACGTAAATAATCAAGTTTTGTATGTAACAAGTACATACAGTCTTAATTTGCAATTCTTACAAATAAATAATAAAATACAAAGTTACGTTTTATATCTTAAAAGTAAAAAATTGAAAATTTATGTATCTGATTTATTATTTTTTATTCATAACACTACAACATTTAAAAACATTTTAAAAATATATTTACATAAACATATGTTTTGAAAAAAAAATTTTAGGAAAATATAAAATGTAAAATATTTAATTTAGATATTAATATTTCAAAAATATAAATTTTTGGGATTGATATTCAATATAATTTTAATATATTTGAGTATTTTTTACTTAAAGTTATTAATAAATTTAATTTCAATATTTTTGTAAAAAAGCGAATGCTCAGTTTCGTATATGCAATTTGCTGATGCAATAAAAAAATGATTATTAATTTAATTGCCTATAAAGTATAATTGCTTTTATCTGTAGAATTAATTTGCTTTATAGGCTGTTAATTAAATGTATAAGAATATACTCTATTCTTTTAATTTTGAAATGGAAATATTAAGTGACTTATAAGTAACTATCGAATAAAAAATAGGTTGGATACTTTTAATATTGAAAATTTTAAGTGCAAATTTTAATTCAATTTGTTATCGCCAAAATATCAATATGTTGCTTTATATACTGCAAACGCACAATTTTTTTTCCTATTTTTTGATTAAATTGAAATGTGCTTTAATTGTTTATTGTCCATTGCGACAAATTATTGTGTGCTAAAAGGGAAAACGGAGAGAAGGCAAATGGGTGGAAAAGATTGGAAGAGGGTGATAGAGAAGCAGGGGGGATGAATGGTGGGAATGCGAGCGAACGGAGGGTACGATGAATGAAACATAATTTATTCAATTGGTACTAATAAATGGTATTTATCGCACTACCCAGTAGTTACGCCAGAATAAAATTTGCACATTATCGAAGCGTTGTTATTGGAATGCACTGTTACACGAACATTAACAAATAATATTATAGTGACCAATTAGTTAACTAGAAAAATGATTTACTTTGTTTTAAAATTAATGATTACAAAATATCGTGGACGTCTATTTGAATTTTCTCAGAATCTATACTAATTCTTGTGATCACAGAATTATAAATAAAGTAAAAAATATGAGAAATCTAGAATATTCTGCATATTAATTATTAAAAATTGATTGCTAGAGTATTGTTTCACTCGTTTTTACACTATTCAATTATCATATGACGCTAAATTATATTGCATTTTCAACAAAAATGTCAATAAAGTTTTTTGTTGAATAAAGATAAAATTTATTGGTTTTCTTTCTAATTATAATATCAATCTCTCTTGTATTAAATTGATTTCTGTTTTTGAAACAGTAAAACCTTATTCATTTAAAATATTATATTTTAGTAATACGAGAAAAAATTCGAGAAAAAATACGAGCTAAAACATATAGGCAGAATTTCAAAATCCGTAAAGTGTTTACAGCGTAATACCTCTAAATTATTCGTAACGGTGAAATAGCGAATATTTTATTTACTGTGCCTTTTAATGAGATAGAAAGAGGGAGAGAAACAGAGAAAGAGAGAGATTTGGCGTTGGATAAAATATCTAACTAGTTTCCGTTGGCAATATAACCGTACTGTGCAATGCATTCGTTCGCAGGAGACTCAAAGTTTAATTAATCGCTGTTACATTCGCAATGCATGGAATTATGCCTACACACGAACTTAATTGTACTGTGATACGTAAAATCTGACAATACCGTTTAACATCGTTCAGCATTAACATAAAAACGTAACCAGCAATTTGTGTTCATATTCTAACGGATGATAATATTTTATGCAATTAAAAATATGTGTATACGTTTTATAAACGTTTTATACACAAGTATATGTTTTGTTAATGAATAATTTTCCTTTATAAGAGTATTTATCTAAATCTTTAAATTTTACAAATACTCATCGCACTTTGACAATTGTCAAATCATCAATATTGTTATTAATTATATTTCTGAATATGTAAATTATTATATACAAACAATAATACGCATATTAAAATGTTGAACCTAAATTTACCCGCGATAAATGTTGCATTTATGAGAATTAATCGATATAATTTATTCGTTGCTTATTTTACATGCGTATTTTATCTCTTTATAATTTTTCTCATAAACATTATTTAAAAAATACAAATTTCAGACAGAATAGATTTTAGAATTAAAAAGCTGATGCATATGATTAAAAGATCTAGCCTGTTAATACAATTTTATTAATAAGTTTATTAATTAAGATAAACTATTCGATATTCTTGTTGAGAAAAAACGAATTCGTAATTTGTCAAGAATTTTATTACGCGAGTTATGTGAATATATATACTAGGTGCGCAACTAAGTTTCCGGGTTTTTTTTATCAATGCAAAATGGAAAATTTCAAGAGAAATACAAAAAACGGTTTATTCAAAATATCGTCCCTCGCTAGCTACACATTTTTGCCATCTCTCTGGCAATACATGAATACCGCGACGATAAAACGACGCGTCTTTGAATCGAAACCATTCATCCAACCAGTTCTGCACTTCTTCGAAATTGGCCAAGTGTAGCCCAGCCAAGCCATGCGCCATCGACCGGAACAAGTGATAATCGGAAGGGGCCAGGTCTGGTGAATACAGCGGGTGCGGTAGCAGATCCCATTTCAGCGTTTTGATGGTGTCCTGGACGATGGAAGTGCGATGGCACGGAGCGTTGTC